GCCACTCTATCTACAATCTCAATTAGGAGTGTCAATGGTCCATTTGAGAGATTGGTGGCGGTAATGCAGTCTGCGATCCGCCGTAAAGCAAGAAGAAGAAGACGCGCCGTCTGTCGAGAACGCGCTCAGGACAGTTCGGACATTGCGGTGAATCAGAGGTAAAAAACTACTAAATCTTTTAGTCAGTGTTTTGTGTGAATAAACACAATAAACTGTCCAAATTGAAATGTTTTTACTTAACTTGTTTTCTAGTGTGGCGGTTCTTGACAAAGTGACAGACTTCCTCTTATTTTTGGGCAAACTCCTCGTCGTTGGAATTGTGGGTGAGTGATTTGGTAAATCAGATGTCAAGTGAATCCAGAGGTTATTTGAGTGGAACTGACTTCTCACTTTCCAGCTCACCAATGTAAAACAGTATGCACTAACTGTTTCTTCTTCCTCTTTTCAGGGATTTGTTCTTTCTTCTTTTTCACGGGCAAGATTAAAATAGTGGAGGATGCTGCTCCATCCCTTAATTATTACTGGGTGCCTATATTGGTGAGTGATCTTGAGTTTTATCAATCCAGCAAAACCAGATTTTCCATCTGCAGTATCAATTTTCCAGATTGTAATAATTACATCTCTCTTCATTTACAGACTGTGGTGTTTGGTGCCTATCTGATTGCTCATGGCTTTTTTAGCGTATACGCTATGTGTGTGGACACACTCTTCCTCTGTTTCTGTAAGTGTGAAGCAGCTTTATTTATTTCACGAGAAAATATGTAATGAACAAATCTTAACAAGTTGTTCATTTGTTGGCTGAGTAACAAAACAAGGATTCTGATAACAGCAGCTGTTGTGTTAGATTTTATTGGGTGTTGAGGAATAAGTTTCACAGATGTTCAACTTTTACCACTCAACTTCAACAGCTAAGCACATTTGCAGCACTCAAACCACCCTCTTTCCTTTCCTTTAAATGTTGTTCTTTTCTGTAATGCAATAGAGAGCAACAGTGACCACCAACTGGATTTCCCCTTCATTTTCTCTATATTCATTTTAAAAAATCAATAAAGAGTTACAAACCTTGAACCAAACCAACCAGCTCTGAGACACATTGCAATATTACAAACTTTAATTCCAAGCAAAAACATGAAGTCTTGTGCTTTTTTCAATTTGTGTATGAGGCAATGAACTGTTCATCCCATGGAGCTTTGCAAAAGATGCAGTTGATTCAGAAAAGACAGTATAATATGAAATTATCTACAAATATAAAATACATGTTATATACCAGACCATATACAAATATATACCATACATATAAGTTATATACCATACCATGATATAACCATATATACCATACATCAGTTTTTTGAGAGTGTAGTGAGAACTGATTTTGTCTTCCACAATGCTTCATAGGAGTGGGCAATCACTGCTCATTCCCATTTCCATGGTAACAGTGACTTCTCTGATTGGTGGAGCTTTTTTCAGGATCTTAGGTTATGTAATTCTCAGTTGGCTATTAAACACGTTTTTTTAAATCACATTTATGGCTTCTACAGAAGCACATATCATTGCTTTCTCAGAGCTCACAGTTTGACTTTAAGGTGTATTTCTATATGGAGAAAATAACTGGGATTTTTACTTGTGGGACCCACTGTTGACATATCTGCATATCACAGATGCTTACAGGGGCTTTTGGCTTGCTTCATGTCTAACCATTTCCTTTCTTTCTCTCTCTCTCTCTTTTTCTCTCTTCAACGTGATTTTGTCCAATCATGTCCTTGTGCTCCTTTCTGCTACGTGCTCTCTCAAAACACTAACATTTCAAAATAACCGTCACTCGCAAACACAAACTCAAGGCGAAGATCTGGAGAGAAATGACGGTTCTTCCGACAAACCGTTTTTCATGTCCGCTGAGCTGCACCAGATTTTGTCAATCGAAAAAAGTGCAGAGGAGACGGACCGTGCCGAGGTACCTGTCATACAGGTGCAAGCTGAAGAGGAAGTCCCGCTGCAGGAGAATGGAGAGGTGCAGCTTAAACAGCAGGACATTCTGAAGCTGGAGCAAGAAGAAGAGACGCCACTAAACCAGGAAACGCACATTGAAGAGCCGCCCCAAGAAACACAACCTCCAGAGGCACCCGCAGCCGACGAGGAGAAACCCGAAGAGCAGGTTACAACGCAAGAGCCTGAACCGCCACAAGTGACCCCAAAACAAAACGGACCCCAAGAGGTGGACGCTGAGGACAAGGAGGAGCAGGTGGCCCAACCTCAGGCAGGACCACCACAGGCCGAGAACCAACAAGAACAGGAACCAGAGGAGCCGAAGCCTCAAGAAAACGGACCTCAAGAGAGCGAGACCCTGCTCACCCCTCAGGAGTAGCTCATTGAAGGTGGATTCGTGAAACGTTTCAGAGAAGCCTACTGATTTGGGAAATGGTGCACTTTGGCGGCTTTGATAAGCCATTAGTATACACTGGAAAGTACCACCTTCATTCACATCATAATGTTTACTCAATCAATCAATTTTCGAGAACTGTCTCTTAATAAATAATCACTGGTTGTAATGGATGGCATGACACAAAATAGGACAGAAACAGGCTTGTTCTCAAAGTATGAGCTGTTTCATTGACAATTGGTTACGTGGACCTAAACCCCATTAGATATGCCTACATAGCACTTGTAGAATGTGACTGTGTTTGTGTTTTATGTAGAACGTTTTAATGTAAGGACTAGGGGTGTGCGATATATATCGTCTGCGATAATATCGTAATTGTCGTTTTAACGATGTGCGATTTGACATTATCGAGTATTTTGCAAAAACCATTCAAAACATCCCTACAGAGCGCACGCATACATTACGTGAAGTCTAGACTAGTGCGTGTGCGCATTTAGTGTTTTCTTTCACTGCATGATTCAGTCTATTAAAATGCATTTAGAATGATCACAAATTCAAGACATGATGGCAGAAAATGTATATATTTATACATTTATCATATAGTTATTCAATTTCACAGGAAGAGTGCCGTTTTTCTCCAAAAATTACCATGATTACAAATGTGACATTGAATTCAATAAACAATAAGTAAATTAAGAGACTTACGTTTTAGACACCATATTGCTTGTTTTTGCTCTATTTCGCCAACAAAAATCATTCCGAATACAGCCACAGTGCTGTTTTGTGTCTCTGAGCAACATGACGGTGTTTCGTTCTTGAATGAATCAACCGTTTAAATGATTCGGTTCAATCGCAATGACTCACTTATTAACAGTGATTTGCTGCCGCCTGCTGGCGGTTTTAATTTCAAATTTCGGCTTTTTCTTTCTTTTTTTTTTAAATCATTTCAAATATCTCAAATATCAGTTTTATGTTTAATATATCAAAACATTATTTATGCATTTGTAATTGCAGGTTAAATGCATTAAATGCATTCATTAAACAAAATACATGTGTGTAAATACATCTAAATGCCACTTCAGATGCAGCTTCTGTGTTGATTTAATTTGCTTGGTAACAGCCCAAATGTCTTATTATTCTAATTCCCTGATTAAATGTAAGAATTTGACTCAAAAGATAACGGACACTTTTAGAAAAAATGGCTTTATAAAGGTAAAAATGCCCATAAAATGCAAAAATCAGTTTAAACTTATTGGAAAAGATTAATTTCTATCAGTATGAACTGACCACCACACAGAATATGAAGAATATCAAAAACTTTAGGAGTCAGCTGTCCACGAAAGTCCTTAAGATAGCAGCATGATAACACACTCAATCAGTTGAATGAATGA